TGTGTGTGTGTGTGTGTGTGTGTGTGTGTGTGTGTGTGTGTGTGTGTGTTACGATGAGGTAATATTTAGCCCAGGCAATTGGGTAGATAGATTTGAAACAGACGAGTTTTCAGAATGAGGGGACCTTCTTGGGCCTCCCAAGCCTCCATGCGCAGTAGGACGCAGACAGTGTTCTAGGTTGATCATGAGTGCATTTGTGACAGGCATTGACTGGCATTACCATCACAAACAGCGTGAAGTAGTCTAGAAGTCAGACCCAAGTGCAGAGAGGCCCTATGGATGTTTGTGGGGCATGACAATGAGCCGGGAGCCATAGATAAGCACACACGTGTATCATGCCCTCTGCTGGCTGCTGGGGTTGTAGAGAGGGCTACCTTGTCCTTGAGGAAAGTGTGTTCTGCTGGGTCAGGTGGGGAAACAGACGCTCTCCCTAAGCACAGTGACAGAGGGAGGAAGGGAGGACCCTGAAGATGGAAGAGTAGAGGCCGCTGCTCGTGCTGGAAGAGCTGTATGAAACACAGTCAGAGTTTCCATCAGCAAATGAGACAGAATGAATGGAAATGTTAACAGCACAGTACCCTCCCCTGATCTTCAGTGGGTACATCCTAAAACCCCCAGCAGATCTCTGAAACCTCAGACAGTACTGAACCCTATGGGCAAACCCAGCCTACTTCCAGCCCGGTCTGTTCAGAATGGCCACCAGATGGCTAGTGAGCAGGTAGTGCCCATACTGTGGACACTGGAAGCAAAGGAACGAGTCATGTTTTGGACAGAATGAAGTGAAAAGGATAGGAGGTCTTATCACGTCACTCAGAATGACATACAATTTTTCTGTTCTGTATTTTTAGACATTAGTTGACCTGGGGTAATTGAAACTATAAAATGTAAGATTATGAAAACGGAAGTACCCCTGAAACTGAGGATCAGGAAATGAACCCCCAGAACAGTTCTATTAAAAAAAAATCTTAAGACACTGTTGAACTAGAAGGGTCTTATTTAGAAAGCATAGGGAAAAGAAGAAAAGAAAAGAATGGAATATTTGAGTATTGGATTTGTAACAATGGACAGCATAGACAGCCAGCCTCTTAGGCGAATTCATGATAAGAAAAACATCCCCTCTACACCAGCACCGTCCCCCAGAATCAAAGGCCAGCACCCACCCACTCTACACTAGCCCTCCCCCAGGCTTAAAGGCTAGTACCCACCACCTCTACACACACACACCCACACACATACACACACAGGCTCAAAGACCAGCACCCACCCCCTCTACACACACACACATACACACACAGACTCAAAGGCCAGCACCCACCCCCTCTACATCGGCCACCCCTCCCCCACATACACACAGGCTCAAAGACTAGCACCCACCACCTCTATACACACACACCCACACACACAGGCTCAAAGGCCAGCACCCACCCCCTCTACACACACACCCCCACACATACACACACAGACTCATAGGCAGCACCCACCACGTCTACACACACACACACACACACACACACACACACACACACACACACTGATCAAGGGGGAGGAAAACAGCAGCCTTCCCTGGGAGCACTGGGCACTCCAAGAAGTTTGCTGCATTCCAAACAGAGGCAAATTTGACAGTGTTTCTCCTGAGATCAGGAGTAAAGCAGGGAAAGTCTGAACTGACTGCAGGTCACGTGTAAGGTTAGCCCCTGACAGAACTGATACTCACACTCAGAGAAAAGGCAAAGTGTAGATCCGCAAAGGCACGCTTTTTGGTTTTGGTTTTCATTTTTTTCTGGGTGGGGGGGTGTTTGTTTGTTTGTGTGTTTGTTTTAAGACAGGGTTTCTCAGTGTTACAGCCCTGGCTGTCCTGGAATTCACCTGTAGACCAGGCTGACCTTAAACTTACAGAGATCCACCTGCCTCTGCACCCGGAGTGCTGGGATTAAAGGCCTTTACCACCACCTGCCAGCTCAAGAAAGCACGTTTAGGTGAAGTTCAATTACAATGTCATGGGTAATCATAAGCTATATTTATGACATTGTCAGGAATATAATTTCAGGAAAAGTAAAAATATTATAACTCTTTGTCTTTTGTCTTCTAATTAAAAGTATTTTTAATGGCCTGGTGTGGAAGAACATGCGTATAATCCCAGCATTTAGGAGAATCTTTGTGGGTTCAAAACCAGCCTGGACTATATAGTAAGTAAGTTCTAGGCCAGTTTGGAATACATAGAAACACCTTATTCAAAAAGAAAAGTAGCTTTACTGGGTCTTAGGGTAAGCTGGATGGGTATTTATGAGTTGGATGCTTGCCCATGAGAAAGTTGTCAATGGTTCTTTGTAGCATGAATAATAAAGACCCAGAGGTAGATATAGGGGTTAAAGATGAAGATCAGAGAAACAGAAGCCACTAGAGAGACCTTTTACCTCTACCAAGGCCTAGACTGCTCTGTGTCTCCACCAAACCTCAGACTCCGCACTCCAGTGGCTTCCTGTCTCTTCCCCTTTATATTCCTTTCTCCGCCCAGTCATCTTGCTTCTATCTTCACTTCCCCTGAGCTGGGATTAAAGGTGTGTAACTTCCAAACACTGGATTAAAGATGTGAGCCACCACCACCTGGATCTGTTTATGGATCAATCTTGTGTAACCCAGGGTAGTTTGAAGTCACAGATATCTGTCTGCCTCTGACTCCCGAGTCCTGGGATTAAAGGTGTGTGCCATCACTCCCTGGCCTCTAGTGGCTTAACTTTACACTCTGATCTTCAGGCAAGCTTTGTTTATTGAAATATAGATAAAATATTACAATAGTCCTTTTTACTTTGTTTTCTTTTTCAAAGATATAATCTCACTCTATAACCCAGGCTATTCCATGTGCATGGTAATAGATCCCTGCTTAGCCTGTCTCTTTAGCCAGTAAAATGTAAAGATCTGAGCTTACCTGAGAAGTAGCAGTACCCAGCATGTTCATGAGGCCGAGCTAGGCAGGTTCTAAGCTGTTTCCCCACGGGTTTCCTCTTTAATCCTCTGCCAAATTGAGTTACACCAGCTTTTTTCTATGAATTGCCTTGATCTATGGAGCTGAGGTCCATGATAAGGGCTGGAGAGACGGTGAATGGCGCTTGCTGTACAATCTGGGGACCTGAGCTCGGATGCCAATGCCCACATAACAAGCCAGAAACCCTACACATGCCTGTAAATACATGTGAGGTGGACAAACAGGAGGACAGCTGAAGCCTGCTGGCTTTAAGCCTACCACGGAGGTTCAGGGCAAAACCCTGCTTCAAGGGAATGGGCTAAGAGTGATAGAAAGGATGCCAGATGCCCCCTCCTCCTTCTCTCTCTCTCTCTCTCCCTCTGGCCTCTGTAGGCACCTGCACATATACTTTACACATAAGGTCACCTAGGCACATATGCATACGCATAAATTAATAAAAAATTTTTAAAGAGAACTTTATGGTAACAGATAAGTGAGGCATGTTAAAAGCAGGTTGGGGCTCAGTGCTGTCAGGAAAAGCAGAACATGACAAAATATGCTGACTGAATAGGATGGGAGTCAGAGTGACATTGAACTAAATCCCAGAGAATGTAAAAGAGCAGGCTAAAATAAGGAAGTTCCACTTGGGAAAATCAGCAAGCACACAGGTGGGGAGGACAGAATGTGGTGGAGGTCACAGCAAGCTGCAGCAGAAGACAGGGGAGTGAAAGGAACCAGCCCAGAATGGCTGGGACCACACGGAAGAGGACCACTCGGTCTTTATAAGGGCTTTGCTTTTTATTCTGTGGGAAGTAGATGCCATTAGGAAGTTTGGTTGGTTTTGTGTTTGGTTACATTTCTGGGTTTGTTTGTTTGTTTGTTTGTTTGTTTGTTTTTGCTTTTGGTTTTTGGTTTTTCAAGACAGGGTTTCACTATATACCTCTGGCTATCTTGGAACTCACTCTGTAGACCAGGCTGACCTCAAACTCACAGAGATCCGCCTACCTCTCTCTCCCAAATACTAAAGGTGTGTGCTACCACCACCCGCCTTTGTTTTGTTTTTAATGTAATATATTTTATTAACTCTTTGAGAATGCTACTAGAAGATTTTGAGAAGGCAAAGTAGGAAGAAAGAAATTATTTTTTTTTAATGTTTTCATTATTTCAGACAGAGTGTAATTATGTAGTCCTGGTTGGCCTGAAACTTGCCAGGTAGACCAGACTAGCCCCAAACTCACAGAGATTCACTTGCCTATACCTTCTGAGTGCTAGGATTAAAGATTTTTGCCACCATACCCAGAAAAAGGTTTTGTTTTCATCTGGGCGGGGGGAGTGTTGGTTTTGTTTTCTTGGAGACACAGCCTCTCTGTGTGGCTCTGGATATTCTAGAACTTGCTTTATAGACCAGGCTGACCTCAAACTCACAGATCCTCCTGCCTCTGTCTTCTGAAAAGTTGTTTTGTTTTTTAAATTTTTTTAAGCATTGGTGCTTTGCCCGTATGCCCATGTGTATGAGGGTGTGGGTGCTGGGAATTGAACCCACATCCTCTGGAAGAGTAGTCAGTGCTCTTAACCACTAAACCATCTCTTCAGCTCCCAAAATTGTGTTTTTTAAAAGACTTTCTTTGTCGGCCAAGATGGCTCAGTAGGTTAAGGCACTTGCTTATGCTAAGCCTGACGAGTGGCATTGAATCCTTGTTGGAAGGAGAGGACCAACTCCTGTGTATTGTCCTCTGATATCCACAAGCATGCCACGAGCATGCCTGCATATACACATATGTATGCACAAACACACACTGCACACACACATATGCATACACACACAGATATTTTTAAACTTTTTTTTTTAAATAAGGTCTCTCCACATTTCTGTGTCTGTCCTGGAATTTATTATAGATCCATCTGGCCTCTAACTCACAGAGATCTATCTGCCTTTCTCTCCCTCCAGAGTGCTGTGATTAAAGGTGTGCACCACCACTCCTCGCTAAAACATTTCTTTAAAAGACTCTCTCTGGCTATTGTGTTAACATCATGTTGTAAAGGAACAAGGAGACTACTTACAAGCCACTGCAGGGGTGCTAGACATGGGCAATGAAGACTTCAGAGAGTCCTCTTTCTACCTTCATTTGACAACTCCAGAGTCTCTCCAAGAGGACAGTGGAGAAGGAACAGAAATGCTCAAGTATCCTGGCCTCTCATTTCCCCTTGGCTCCAACAGCCTGTGTGCTGCTATAACAGAGAAACTGACACGTGCACTGGGGCTGTGTGGTCCATGATAGAGCACTAGCCCAGCATGTGCAATGCTCTGGTTTCTCTGTCCCGCCCTGTCCTGGAGCTGCTTCCAACTAATCACTCAGAGGCTTATATTAATTATAAATGCTTGATTATATTAATTAATAAGCTGAAGCTTATTACTAACTAACTCTTACATTTAAATTAACCATATTTCTATTAATGTTTTGCCATGTGGCTCAAGGCGTTTTACCTCATTTTCAACATGTTTGGTGGCTGGCTGGCATCTCCCTGCCCCTGCCCCTGCCCCTCTTCACCCAAGTCCTCAGTTTGATTATTCCACCTAATCTTATCCTGCCTGACTTTTGGTCAAATAGCTTTTATTATTAACCAATGAGAGGAATACATATTCACAGTGTACAGAAAGATCATCCCACAACATTTTCCCCTTTTTGTCTAATCAAAAAAGAAGGCTTTAACATAGTAAAATTACATACAACAAAACAGTTATTAAGTAAGAATTGGAGTTACAATATCTAGTCTATTTGTATTTGATAAAATTAAAGAAAATATTTAATTATCCTATCTTGGTTTAAAGTTTTCTATCTAATTTACCTTTTTATTATAACTAAGACAAACAATAATTATAACTAGCTATTCTTCAACGCCATCAAAGATCAGAGAAGGAAATAATGCTACCTGAGTAAGCAAAAAGTGCAGGCTTCCAAAAAATGTGAGAAATGACAGGAACAGTTGGCTGCCTGGGGAGTCACCCAGGGTTCCTCTGCAACATTGGGGCATCTATCTTTGACCTAAATGCCTAGCATATCTGACAGACTTACCTGTGAAGCAGGGAATTTTGAAGGACTGTCCTTTCTTGTCTTGGCAAGGTTCAGCAGTCACCTTTCTTGTGTTCTGCTGGACCAGTTTGTACAGTAACTGTCAGTAGATGAGGCAAGGGCAGTTTCTTTGCTCATATGGCTAGCTTTTGCCATAAAGAAAATAAACTCTGTTTGGATGGTGGTGTTTCATGCCTTTAATCCCAGTACTCAGAAGGCAGACACAGGTGACTCTCTGTGAGCTCAATGCCAGCCTGGTCTACAAAGTGAGTCCCAGGACAGGCTTCAAGGCTACAGAGAAACCCTATCTCAAAAACAAACAAACAAACAAACAAAGCAAAACAATAAAAAAAAGGAAAGAAAATAAACTCCATTGAGTATACTGGTGCTGCCAGGAGCAGACATGTCTCATTGTCAAGAGAAGTTTACGTTATTAAAACATTTTAAATGCCATATTCTGTAGGTCTTTGAAATGTTTGAAGAATACCTATCTATCCAAAATATATCTTTGTATATCTAGAAAACCTAATTAACAGGACTATAAGTTTGGCTATTATAGATGACTAAGTGTATTTTGTAAATCTTTATTTCTTAATCATGCATTACATTTTCAGTTGAGCTACATAAACACAATATCTTAAACAAAAGTAGAAATATACATACAGTATAAAAATTAATCTTAAATTTTATCAATAAACTAAAATCCATACCAATGTAAAATACTTTGAGATTAACAGTCATTTTTTGGATAAAAGTGGATTCAATAGTCTACCCTTTTATCCTATTTCTATATTAGGCTTTGATCACCAGCACTGTCAGAAAAAAAGAGTAAGAAATTAACACTCTGGAATAATGATAATAAAAAAAATTATATGAATCACATAAATAAACTTTTTTCTAATAGGCATAAATTAAAAAACAAAAAGAAGCCAAGTATGGTGGTGTGTGCCTTTGATCCCAGCAGTCCTTGTGGATTTCTGTAAAAGTTAAAGACCAGCCTGACCTATATGAGTTCCAGGCCAACCAGAACTGCATAGGGAGATCCTGCCTCAAAAAATTAATTAATGAATTAAAGCAAAAATAAAATAACAAGCAATGTTGTGGCAGCCTGGACAAAAATACCACTTGCCAGGGTAGGGGTGTGGAGATCAGAAAAATAATAAAGAAGACAAAGACACAAATAAAATAATAAAACAGAAAACATTGGATAGTATAGGGAAGGAGTTCCAGTGAATACTAACATCAACTACAGTTAATTTTCCTTGCGCTTTTATACCACAATACAAAAGGAGGAAGAAGGCAACAAAAGACTTCTTTAACATGATACAACGGACAGCTCAAATGGTTAATTGCTTCACTACTTTGAGACATCAAGTCATTAGCATTCTGTTGTTTAGGCAGTGAAGCCACCCTAGACCAAGTATCCTGAAAGCTGCCATTCCCCAGGTTAGACTTCCAATTACAAAAGAAGGAGCAGAAGTATGCTTGCATATCCTGGCCATCTGTCAGCACGGAGTGGACCTACCTGTATGGGCCATCTTAATGTCAAAAGAACCAAGTAACCACATCCCGAGTCAGGATGTGTAGTCCTGATTGTTGTTAAATATTGAGCCACCTCCAAACTCTCTGACCATCAGACAAGGTGGAAAAAGGTTCACATTTTTGGGCCTCTACAAAGCAAAAGGAAATAGGTGAAATAGATTTTTAATAATGTTTATGATATTATCTAATATCCACAATGCCCTTTCAAAGTATATACAGTATATAACTTGCCTGTGCTCTCTCAAATATTTTTTAATATGAAGTCTAAAATTCTGTGTTTTATGGATCAGTTAGACTAACCGCTTTTTTAGTGCTTAGTTGACATATATGGCCAGGAACTCATATACTGGCCAAGACAGATATAGAAGATTCTACCTACTTAGATAGTTAATGTATAGAAAAAATCTTGGGCAAAATATGAGTATTCTCATGATATTAAGAATAATGGCCAGTCTGAGATTACAAAACTCAACAAATCATATTCCCCTCCTATTCAAAATATACTATTTCCATATAGAGAGGTCAGCAAAATAACATATAAGGAGATTACTAGAAACTTGACAAATACATCTCACTATTCTCAACTCTCTAAGTAAATAAAGGTATGTTTGCTCTAAAGATTTATATGGCTACAAGGAAAGCGGAAGGAATACACACACACACACACAAACCCAACCCAACAAGACAAACCATACAATCTAGAGACAATGCAACCTGTTAGAGATAATTTTGACTATTTATAGTAAAGGGCTAGGAACTAAAATTGTTCAGGTAACACCATTTCCTTCAAGAAACCTTCATTTCAATATATTTAAACAAATATATTAAACTTTGATTGTGAGGAGCTTTAAAAGTCCTATTTTAAAAAACTTATTTTGTCTTCCTATTAATAATAGTAAAGGAATATTCTCTATGCTTCTAATTACCTAATAGAGAGGTTCACCTAGAGATCATAGAACTTGGTCCTGGACTATCTAGAATTTTCCAGGTCAGTTAGAGCTATATGGGAACCTGCTCTACATGCGCACATGTGCACGCGCACACATACTATACACACACGTTTTTTTCTCACTTCGCTGTGTAGCCAAGGCTGACTTTCAGTTCACACTTGCCCTGCCTCATCCCGTCCTGCGCTTCACCTGCTGTGTTTCCCATTGGTCTCTCAGCAAGCATGGAAGAAATCCCACAAGGTGCTGTGAATGCCTGTCTGGAGGGTGAGATGCATGGGTGAAAGGAGCCATTCCTTTCTGATGGAATGGATGGCTCTAAGCTAATCTTCTAATTAGCCTATAATTTTATACACAGTTTAGAATTCTATCTTTTAGTATCAGCTTATATAAAACCTTCAATATAAAAATGTAAATTTGGGGCTGGGAGGTGACTTTAGTGACTGAGCTCCTGCTATGCATGCCTGACAGCTTCAGTGTTTTTTTTGTTTTGTTTTGTTTTGTTTTGTTTTGTTTATGGTGAAAAAGTGTATATTTAGAATTAGCCGACTGGGCTCAGTTTAGATGATTCCAATTTTGTTGGCAACATCCAGAGCATCATAATCAGGAGCCAACCGAACATATGCTTTCTTCTCTCCATCGGGCCTTATGAGGGTGTTGACTTTGGCCACATCAATGTCGTAGAGTTTCTTCACAGTCTGTTTGATCTAGTGCTTGTTGACCTTGACGTCCACAATGAACACCAGTGTGTTGTTGTCTTCTATCTTCTTCATGGCTGACTCGGTGGTCAGGGGGAATTTGATGATGGCATAGTGGTCAAGCTTGTTCCTCCTGGGCGCGCTCTTCCGGGGGTATTTAGGCTGCCTTCGTAGCCGCAGAGTCTTGGGCCGCCGAAAAGTGGGCGATCTTCTTCTTTTTGTGGCTGTGGACGCCTTTCAGCACTGCCTTCTTGGCTTTCAAGGCCTTCGCTTTAGCTTCTGCTTTGGGAGGGGCAGGAGCTTCCTTCTTCGCTTTAGGCGCCATCTTGACGAAAAGGGCCAGCTTCAGTTTTGATCTGCATCAACCCATGTAAACACCAAGAATGGCCACTCATGCACCTGTAGCGCCAGGCCAGGCAAGTAGAGACAGGTGAATTCTGGGAACTTGCTGGCCAGCCAGCATATCCGAAGTTACAAGCTTCAGGTTTAGTGAGAGACTCTGCCTCAAAGGAGTAAGATGGAAAGTAATAGATCAGGGCACCTAACATCCTTTTCTGGCCTTCAAGTGGGTAGGTGCACCAACATATGAACACACACATCACACACACACACACACACACACACAGAGAGAGAGAGAGAGAGAGAGAGAGAGAGAGAGAGAGAGAGAGAGAGAGCCCAAAAAAGCATACTAACTTATCATTAAGGCCCTAGGTTGGATTCTAGCACTATAAAGAAAAACAGGAAAAATCATAGGGAAACAACCTTTGGGAAAGTAGTCTTATCTGTTAGTTTCAGGAAAAAAATAATCACTGGGAAGGGTAAGTGAAAATTTAATGAGTTTTATTATGTTAATAATTTGGGGCATAAACAACTCAAATATTGTCTGGAATTGTCAAGATTTTCCCAGAAGCCGTTTTACCAACGCTATTTGGGGCCGGGGAGGGGGGGCTAAGCTAAAAGTTACCCAGGAAAGGCTGGTATAGTTTACCCATATCAAGAGAATGGTTTTTTCCTCCAGTTAAAACAGGAAGCTTCTGCCTTAGCTTAATTGTGTTTGAAATCTGTTTGTATTTCTCTTTTAGTCTTTGCATCGAAAGCAGCAGCAAACGCCTTCGTGCACCGCCGCCTCCTGTACAATAGGTTTGATTTGGAGCTCTTCACGCCCGGGGACCTGGAGAGAGAGTGCTATGAGGAGGTTTGCAGTTATGAAGAAGCCAAAGAGATTTTCAGGGATGACGAGAAAACGGTAATTTGCCTAGGGATGTCAGTCACCTGGAAGGTTATTTCAGTGTACTTTGAGAGAGTGGTGACAAATATGTCGTAGACCTGTGTGCTTTAAACAAAATCAAAATTGTGTGCCTGTTACCTCTTTCCTCTTCTTAAAGTGCCAAGTAAGCCTCTTCAAGTTGGCTTTGTGCTTAATTAGCTTTCACTTATAGTAATTAGCAAATTTCAAGCTATGTGATGATTTTGTCTAACTTTTTTAAAAATTCTTTATTTGTTTGTTTGTTTGTTTGTTTGAGACATGGTTTCTTTGTGCATCCCTGGATATCTAGACCTTGCTATGTAGACCAGGCTGGGCTCAAACTCACAGAGATCCTTCTGCCTTGGCCTCTCAAGTGCTGGAATTAATGGTGTGTGCTACTGTGCCTGACCATGTGTTCAATGTTTATTATATCCAAAAATAGTCTCAGGCAACAGTGGATTTCAGTTCACAATGTTATTTGAAGATGACTCAGAGGCCATAGCACTAGATAGCACAAGCCCCTGGGTTCCATTCCTAGCAACTAAGACATCATTAGTTAGTACTTTGACTTGAAATTCAATCATTTAAAACTAAGCACAATTTTTCTTCTTAGTAATCTTACCTTTTTGATTGCCCATATCTATAGTTCAAATATTTATGACAGTCTCCTATGTGCTAGACACTGAGAATGATATGTGTTTGTTTTTTCTTTTCTTTTTAAGATTTATTTTATTTTATAGCAGGGGGTAAGGGTGAAGAGGTGAGGGTGGAGGATGGGGACATGCCTTTAACTGCAGCACTCAGGAGGCAGAGGCAGATGGATCTCAGTGAATTCAAGGCCAGTCTGGTCTTCAAAGTTAGCTCCAGGACTGCAGGACTATTACACAGAGAAACCCTGGATTTATTTTATTTATGAATGTGTACATATGTGCTGCTTGTCATCTGAGTATTGGGGTCTGCACTCCAGTCTTATAATTTCACAGCAGCTGTCTCAACCACTGAGGCATTTGCCAGACTCTGGCTCCAAAGTAGCCTCTCATGTTCAGGATTTTATTGATCTGTCTATGTAAGTTTAAGGGAAAGTATCTTTTGTTGTTGTTGTTTTGTTGGTTTTGTTTTTTGCTTTTTGAGTTGGGAGTCTTGGTAAGTGGAGAACCTCCTAACTCTGTCTCCTGAATGATGGGACTGAAAGCATGTGCCACCGTACCTGGCCTAAGTGGGGGAAAAAGACTTTTTTAAAAATTAATTCCCAATTTTTTATGCATATGAGTGTTTTTTCTGCATGTATGTCTGTACATCACATACTGGCTCATGTTGGAGGAGGTCAGATGAAGGCTTCCCAGTCCCCTGGAGCTGGAGTTATGGATGATTGTGAGCCACAGGGTGGATGCTGGGAACCAGTCCTGGGTCCTCTTGCAAGAGCAACAAGTGTTCCTAATCCCCTGAGCCATCTCTCCAGCCCCCAGTGGGTTTTGTTTTGTTTTGTTTTGTTTTTTTAAGTCTCCATTAAATCCTGCCTGTTAATCTAGATAATACAGAAAACAGACAGGTAACACTGCTGTCATTTGGAAATTTCTGGAGAAATGCTAAGTGCTTCACTTCCTCCATATGCAAATATTGCCAGCTCCTACTCTCCTTTCTCAGGTATCCTCCTTTGCTCTTGGTTAAATAAGAAGCTCCCAGGGATCCTCCAAATTTATACTGAGGAAACCTAATTATTCATTTTTTTCATAACCTTTCTCAGGCACTCATTTCCTGCAAATGTTTACTACACGTAGGAAGTAGGAAAACAAAGAATGTATTTTGTAGTTGTCCTGTTGGGATTTAATTATGTTTTTCATAATTTAAAAAAATTTTTTAAGCTGGTAGTGGTGTCTTACACCTTTAATCCCAGCTCTCGGGAGGCAGAGGCAGGTGGATCTCTGAATATGAGGACAGCCTTGTCTACAGAGTGAGCTCTGGGACAGCCAGGGCTACATAGCAAAACCCTGTCTTGATAAACAAAAAAAAGAGAAAAAAAAAAAAGTCCTGCAAAAAAAAAAAAAGTTCTACTTTAATCATGGTTCCTCAAAAGTCTTCTATTCTTTCAAAGCACAGAGAACTTGGACAGCCTCAGAGATAAGTTTGCAAGTCAGTAATCTCAACTCTCCTAGTAAACAGAGCCCCACACCCCAGTGCAGAGAGCCAGCCTCTCACAGACGGGCAGCTGGGTAAGGGAGACTGGCAGGGCATGGCAGCGGAGACCTGGGACAGCAGCGATCCTTTCACAATTAACCAGACAGCAGACACACAGAATGAGCCAGTGCCTTCAGCTGGATTGAACTGGGCTCCTGCCCGTGTCACATGCCAAGAGCTTACCCCTCCAATCTAGGACACCGGGAACAAATGAAATGATTCTAATTTACAGAAACGTGAAATGTCATTTTTCCCTCAGATTACATTTTGGCGGGATTACTCGTTGAAAGGACCGACCACACGATCGGGTAAGGTGAAGAACTGCTGGCGGGCGCGCTGTCCTCACCTCTCACCATTGTAACACATTTTCCTTTTCATGTTTGAGTTTGGCTATTGCTCAACGTGCATACCAAGGACGGTTTCTCAATTATATGCTGAGATGTGAGAGACAGAAGCTACCTTCTGTTTACATACTGAAAATCAAGTTTGGTGAGATATTAGGGAAATGAGATAATGGGCTTAAAGGTTGTTTAAGCCGCTGGGTTAAGTTAAAACTTGCACAAAAGTAGGACTCTGTGAGTTTCAGCTTATAAACTAGTACAACTTTATCTTTTGTTAGCATTACAAGTGAACAAAATACCTACAACAGGTGAATGAGATTGCTGGGTAAGGCTGAAGGTCGGGCTGGGGCCGCGGCATGTAGAGAATGCTTAGCTAGCAAATTCATGTACCTGGACTTGACTCCAGAAAGGAACACACACACACACACACACACACACACACACACACACGCACGCACTCGGTGCGGGCATGCCCACAGTGAGGCAGTGAAGTGATTATATGAAGCCTAGGAGACCACAGCTCCCCCCACCCCACCCACTCCCAGGAGCAGGAAGAAGAGAAAGACTGAAGATGTATCTCAGTGGTGGAACACATGCTTAGCCTGGGTTCAGTCTGCAACACCAAGAGAAGAAGAAAAACACCAGGAGGATAGTATTAGAAGTCGTAGCTTCTGGAGAAGGGAAAGCCTCTGTCTTACCTGTGATGTCGTCTCAAGCTGCTTGCTTTCTTTTTATAGTTTGATACATAATAATTGTACCTGTTTATGGAATACAGTATGTTGTTTAAACACTTATAGACAATGTGTGGTAATCAAATCAGGGCAATTAGCATATCCGTCACATCTGTCACACGTCACATTTGTCATTTATTGAGGTGATAATATAAAAATCTTCTATTTTGAAATATCCAATAAATTATCAATAATAGTTATTCCAGTTTGCTACAGAACAGTAAAACTGACTGGTCCTACTTGATCGTCATTCTGTTCCTAATCACTAATTTTTTTTTAATGCCTTCCACCTGTTTCTCCTAGCTGCATTTTGGTCATTTATTTAACTATTCTTGCCTTTGATTCTTTCATTCGTCTTAGATAGGCCCCTCCTGTAGGAGACTATTACAAGGTTGCCTAATAAATGTACCCACCTATAAGCTGAGCCAAGGACATGTTTATCGCACTTACTGTTGGATATTATTCATATAATGTGACTTATTTGAGTAAATAAAATAATAAACATAATTAGGAGTCTAAGAAATATCATGTAAGAGCTGGCAAAATGACTCGGTAGGTAGAGATGCTTGCCACCAAACCCACATTCAACTCTCATGGTAGTAGGCAAAAATAAACTCTCAAAAATTGTCCTCTGACTTACACATGTGTGTCATGACAACACGACCTCACATGTCCTCTGACATACACACATGTGTCATGCCACACATAATAAATATTTTTCAAAAAGAGAAAAATTTAAATGACAAATATTATTTAATTTTCTCAAGTAGAGTCTCTAACACAAAGATTTTAAGATAAATAAATGTTGCATGGCAGTATTATTGTGCACACCTTTAATCCCAGCACTTGGGAATTAGAGGCAGGAGGATCTCTGTGTGTTCGAGGCCAGCTTGGTCTGCAGAACCAGCAAAGGCTACACAGAGAAGCCCTGTCTCAAAAAGCAATAAATAAATAAATCAGTTATCAGTTACGAAATCCTCCTTAACAATGTGTGAAATTTATTGAAATTATTGATGATGCTTTTCAGTCATGCTATTAACTCATTTTACTGCTTTCTTTTAAGATGCTAACAAAGAGAAAATAGATGTTATGGGCCTTCTGACTGGACTAATTGCTGCTGGAGTACTCTTGGTTATTTTTGGCCTATTTGGTTACTATCTGTGCATCACCAAGTGTAATAGGCAGTCATATCTGGGGTAAGTCAAAACATTAAGTTCGTTCATATACATTCTGTCTTGTTATTTAAGTGGGTCAGACTGATAACTATTTGTTTTCAGGTTTTTACTTTAGAGCAATCCTAGATAATCAAAAAGATAGCAAAGACAGTTCAGAGAACTTTTTTGCTCAGTTTCTCCCATGATTTCCAATTATGTTACCATATTAGATCTGTCAAAACTAAGGAAATATGACCAGAGATGTGGCTCAGTAGTCAACTGTTTTCTGCACAAGCCTAAGTCCTGAGTTCAGATCACCAGCAGTTAGAAAAGCTTGGTGTGGCAGCATGAGCCTGTAATCCAACTTCAGGGAGGTGGGGACAGAGGCTTCCTAGGGCTTGCTGTCCAGCCAGCCCAGCTTAATCAGCAAATTCCTGGTCAGGGAGAGACCCCGTCTCAAAAATCAAGGTGGAGTGGAATTGGGAAAAACACTGATGTTGACCTCTGACACACACACGTGCGTGCACACATATGTGCACACGTACACATGCACATACTGTACTATCATCATTAACTAAACTCTACACTTATATTTTGCCAGTTTCTCTGTTAGTGTTCTCTCCCTACTCCAGGGCCTGTTGAGGGCCCACACCACATCTAATTCTGTCTTCCCAGAATCTAGGCTGACAGATGTTTGATGTTTTAACATCCCCATTAACAATCTAATGATGCTATTTCTAAAATTTCTTAAATGTGTATGTGTGTATGGACACCTATGTGTCGTGGCAAGCGTGTGCTAAAGTTGCTATTTCTAAGATCCTTCAAAAGAATACAAGGTCTAGTGTAGTATGAGCGTGGCGGGCTGTGTCCTGCTGCCCAGCTAGCTTAACCCCCAAAATAACCACAGTGAAATTGTATTAATTAAATTACTGCCTGGCCCATTATTTTTAGCCTCTTATTGGCTAGCTCTCACATCTTGATTAACCCATCTCCATTAATGTGTATCTAGCTTACCGGCATGAGTCTAACCAGCGTCCATCTTGGGCAGGAGAATCATGGCGTCTGCAACACTGCCATTCTTCCTCCCAGCATTCTGTTCTGTCTACTCCACCCACCTAAGGGCAAGCCTATCAAAAGGCCAAGGCAGCTTCTTTATTTGACCAATGAGAGCAACACATAGAAAAAAGAACCTCCTATACCAATGTAGGTGTAGCTGCTCAGATCTACAATCCCAGCAGTCGGGAGGTAGGGAAACAGGATTCAAGATCAACACCAGTCTGGGCTACAGAGACCAGAGATACCACTCAACAGTGGAGCACTTGGCTAGAATGCACACACCACTCCTTTTGACAGTGCTGCCCCATTATTTTCACAAACAGGACGTCCAGTAGTTTAGTGGATCATAAACTTAATAGATCTGTGTAGAATTTAAGGACTGAGGGTCTAACTTAGTTAACCCTTAACTAAGTTAAGTAACTAACTTAGTTAAGTAACTCTTAACTAAGTTAGAGTGCTTGCCTAGTGTTCAAGATGCCCTGCCTTCAATACCCAGTACCACATAAGCCTGGTGTGGTGGCACACACCTACAAACACTAGCACTATGAAGGTAGAGGCCGCCAGAGGGTCAGAAGTTCAAGATCACCCTTGGCTACATAACAAAGTGGAAGCCAGTCTGGGACATATGACACTTTGTTTCAAGGGAGAGGGGACTGGCTTTAACCTATTGTTGATACCTTAAAATTAACAAAATTATTACCAATTAAAGATTAAGTAGAACATTAACAAATTAATAAGAATTCATAGGGACCATAATAATGTGCAAAACTGTCTTGGTTAGGGTTTCTACTGCTGTTGTAAAAGGAGCAGCAGGCCGCTTCCCGCTGCCCGGATTCCGGCTAGCTTACCCCCGAAATAATTACATGGAAACTGTATTCATTTAAACACTGCCTGGCCCATTATCTGTAGCCTCTTCTTGGCTAACTCTCACATCTTAACTAACTCATTTCTAATAATCTGTATGTCACCACGAGGTTGTGGCTTACCGGCATGAGTCTAGCCAGCGTCTGTCTCAGGAAGGGGAATCATAGCGTCTGCCTGACTCTGCTTCTTTCTCCCAGCATTCTGTTCTGTCTACTCCGCCTATCTAAGCTGCTGTCCTATCAAAGGCCAAGGCAGTCTCTTTATTTGACCAATGAAAGTAACACATAGATAGAAGACCCACCTATATCATAATGCTGTGATAAAAAGCATCTTGAGGAGGAAAGGGTTTATTTGGCTTACAAATCCTAGGTCACAGTCTACTGAGGAAAGCCAAGACTGGAACCTGGAGGCAAGAACTGAAGCAGAGGCCGTGGAGGAGCTCTGCTTCCTACATTGCTCCCCCTGGCTTGTTCAGCCTGCCCACCTTCTTTATATTTGGATTTTTGTTTTTTGAAGACAGGATTTCTCCCTGTAACAGCCCTGGCTGTACTGGAACTCACTCTGTAGACCAGGCTGGCCTCGAACTCATAGAGATTCACCTGACTCTGCCTCCTAAGTGCTGGGATTAAAGGCGTGCACCACCACCACCCGGCTGGATAACTGCATCTTGTATCAAGCTGACAAAAACTAATGCAGTTGCCGAGCATCTTGGTGATTCAGTGTGGAGACATTTCTGAAAAGAACACCAGGCACTAAGCAGGCTGCTATTATTAATGCTCGCATATTCTGGCTCACACTTTCAAAGTCAACGAAGAGGCTCATAATAGGGACCCCATATCTTTTTCCCACTGCTAGGAACTGAGCCCAGGCCTCATACAGGGGAAGCAAGTGCTCTATCACACAGGTGGGCCAAGTGTTCTACCACTAAGCGATAGCCCCACCCTGGACTGGTTAAAAATGGAAAGTGTTTGTTCATTTTAATTTTTTTATTCAGCTATTTATTCTTATTTTATGTGCATCTGTGTTTTACTTGCATGTATGTCTGAATGAGAATGCCAGATCTGTGGAACTGGAGTTACAGACATTTGTAAACTGCCATGTGGGTGCTGGGAACTGAACCCAGGTCCTCTGGAAAAGTAGCCAGTGCTCCTATCCACTGAGCCATCTCTCCAGCCCCCATTTTAATTTGGGGCTGGGGTGTTTCCAAAACAAGGTTTCACTCTGTAGCCCTGGCTGTCCTGGAGCTCACTCTGTAGACCAGGCTGGCCACAAACTCACAGAGATCTATCTGCCTGCCTCTGCCTCTGCCTCCTGTGTTCTGGGATTTAAGGCATGCATCACCACTGCCCAGCTTTTTGCTCATTTTAAAAGATGATTATACAACCATTCAAGTCTAAATGTAGACCAATATAAAACCAGAAAAATTTAATTACACTGCTTAAACTAATGGGATAAGACTGTTCTTAATTATTTCATATCAGATATGAATAATTTGTAGAGGAAGAACACTCAACTAGGAATTAGTAGGCAAAGGTTCTCCTGCTAATTCTGCTACTATTTAATAATGGATCTGAAGGCAAATTCTCCCCTCGCTCTTTGTCATTTGAGACATTATCTCACTAGGTAACTTATGCTGGCCTCAAACTCTGTGTCCCAGGTGGGCCTTGAATTAATAAATTGCAAATTCTGGAATTATAGGCATACCACTAAGCCCCATTAAATTCCTTAATTTAAAAAATATTACTATTATTTTTGCATATGTGCTTACTTGTATGAATTTATGTGCACCACATGTGTGCAGGTGCCTGAGAATGCCAGAGGGCATTGAATCCCCTGGAGCTGGAGTTACAGGAAGATGTGAGCTAACTGATGTGGGTGCTGGGGACCAAAGAGTTCTCTGGAAGGGCCGTGTACTATCTTAATGGATGAGCCATCTCTCCTGCCCTCCCATGAGCACACACACACACACCATACACACACACAAAGAAAAAGAAACCACTATTGTTGATTTAATGCATTTTGAGAATAGTAGTTTACATAAAATAAAACCTATCTTCTTTGTTGTTTGTAAGTAAGTAGTTCCAGTTCAGAATTTATCTCATTCACATGACTTTACATTCATTTCCAGCTCCGTGCCTGTGAACCCAGCCACTCACTTCTGTCTTCTGCTCATATCCCCAACCCACCAGCCCAAGCTCACCACCAACCTACTTTCTACCTCTGTGAATTTTACTACTCTGACTCACAGAAGTAGAACCCCACAGTCTTTGTCTGACTGGTTAATCTGGTACAGTATTTTCAAAACACTGAGCGTCTTGTACACTTGCATTCACTGCTTGATTTATATTTTCTGGCATATTCTTCTAAGATATGATTCCATCCTAAAATAACCAAGCACAAAACCTGTTCAGAGCTTGTACTGATTATAGATTTACACAGCATTCATATGCTCATATGAAATTTAAGTTGAGACATGTCATAAATAAGTTTTTTTTTTTTTGGCTTGGCAGATGACAGTGAATCTGCCCCAGTCCCGGTCTAACTTCTGCACAGCTGGTGTCAACCTACAGGCTGCTGTTGCTGCTGTGTACCTCCTAGGCAGGGGATTCTGGGGCTTGTGAAGGTGAAGGAGAGTTGTTCAAAGATGACAGAGTGGTTGCCATTCGGTTAGAGAATGGGAGGGAGAAAAAGGGAGAGAGAGCCCAAATTATGATAGTACTAGGTCATTTAAGTTTAGGGAAGATGGTCACAGGTGGAACAAGAGAAATGGGTTTCTTTTGGTGAAAATGTTTTTAAGAAAACAGTAATCCGTTTCCCCCTGAGAGAGATGGCAACATAGTGATGGCAAAAGTGGACACGTTGCTTAAACAACACACAGCAGAGGGCTGCAGAGATGGCTCAGCGGTTAAAAGCACTGACTGCTCTTCCAGAGGTCCTGAGTTCAGTTCCCAGCAACCACAGGGTGGCTCACAACCATCTGTAATGAGGTCTGGTGCCCTCTTCTGGCCTGCAGGCACACATGCAGACAGAACACTGTATACATAATAAAAAAATAAAAAACAATACGCAGGGGAGCAGGAAGAATCTGAAGTAGAGGAATGCCCATTGGGATGCCAGCGTGGGACTCCCAGGGGGGTCGGGAGTCTGGACTTGTCTGAGGGAAGAGAAGTTGTGAGACCTACAAGGAAGCTGGAGGACACACAGGGAGAGTGTGGGCCGAGTCTCGACTTCTGGCTGAAGGACTGTACATGAAGACTGAGGGAAAAAGTGAAATGGATTTGACAGAATAAAATAATATTTTATTTCTAAGATTTTTAAAGATAGACCGAGAGGGCCTGAAGAGATGTCTCAGCAGTCAAGAGCACTGGCTACTGATATAAAACAAAAACAGTGTTTTAAAAAAGAGATAGGTGAAGGAAGGGCAAGGCAATAAAAGACAACCTATAGAAAGGTAAAGGACTTGAGCTGACTTTTCTCCAAAGCGGACAGACAAATGACCAACAAATACCCGAGACGGTGATGAGCATGCTGGGATTGCACACGCATGCGCTGCTGTGTCTGGCTGCTACATAGCTTCTGGGAACCCAAACCCAGATCATCAGCTTTGCAAGACAACTCCCTAGACCTATGTGGTAAAAGTTCTATAGACATGAATTAGAGGTTTGGCAAAATTGTCTGAATCTTAATTATCATATTACCCTTATCCATAGAAGGTTAAGCTGATTCACTGATACTTTATAGTCAGCCAACTTCACAGTCTAAACAGCTCAATTTCCTAACATTTACATTGTAGCTTCTGGACTGGCGAGATGGTTCAGTGGGTAAAGGTACTTACCACCAATCCTGATGACCCAAATTCAGTTCTTGAGATCTCCATGAGCCTGGCAGTGGTGGCGCACGCCTTTAATCCCAGCACTGTGGAGGCAGAGACAGGCGAATCTCTGTGAGTTTGAGGCCAGCCTGATATACAGAGCAAGTTTCAGGACAGGCTCAAAAGCTACAGAGAAACCCTGTCTTGTACCCCAAGCTACGTGATAGAGAGAACCAGCTGAGAAAGTTGTTCTCGGACTTCCACAAGCACACTATGGCATGTGTGTGTATATGTGTGTGCATGTTTATGTATACATGTATATATACACATATACATGAGATTCAAAAAATTTTAATGTAGTTTGCAATTCACAGAAGAGAGTGGAAAGCCATAGGCTGAAAACATCAGACCCACGTGGCATTTAGTTTTCACTGGCTGATGAAGTTTCGTGAAAGTGTTAGGATTTTTTTAGGTGTGGTGGTGCAAATCTGCAATTCTAGAACTCAGGAGGTTTGCCAGTTCAAAGCCAGTTACAATAATGTGTTCAAGGCCAGCTCAGCAACCTGAAAAGACCCTTTCCCAATATTTCAAAATGACTAGAGATGGTAGATGAATGGTACAGTTCTTGCCTTCCAGTATGCCCATGACTCTGGGCTCAATCCCAATATGAAGAGAAGACAGGAGAAGAGAAGAGGAGGTTAAACTTTGCATTTCAGTGCTGAGGGTGGAGCCAGGTCTTCACACACTCTAGGCTACTGCGTTACTATGTGCTTGGCCAAGCGTAAATGGGCTTAGGTCACTAAAGCTGGAGAAAAGAAAGAGACAGCATGTCTAGAGAGAACAATACCAGTCAAGGCACAGAGAAGCGGGCTGGAGGGTAGCTCAGCTGTAGATCCCTTGCATAGCATGTGTAGAGTCAGAGTGGTTCACTCTCCAGCACTTCATGCCTATAATCTCAATACTAGGGAAGTAGAGGCAGAAGTCCGAAGTCATCCTCAATTACATAGTGAGTTTGAGGTCAGACTGAGCTACATGAGACCCTGTCTCAGGGGGTGGGAAAAAAGAGCAGAGACACAGATGGGGCCTGAAAATTCTGTCTACTTGACAGAGAAGAAAGCTATGAAAAACACAGTGAGGACAGAGTAAGGGAGGCTTGGACAAGAGGGTTCAGGAGGTACATAAACATGGAGGGCAGGCCATATCTAGATCAGATGACAGAAATACTGCTTGGGAAGGGTCAAGGGTCAACCAGGCAGCAAGACTGTGGAGACTACCTCTGTGGCTTGGCATCGTGCCCCCTCACAGCAAAGCCTGGGTTTGGTTTCCGGAGCAGGAGGGAAAGAGAGTCACTCTGCTGGAAGTGCTACATCAAACGTCCTCCATCCACACCAACAACTCTGTTGAGATAGCTTTATTACCCAGTTTAGAGAGGAGGAAACTGAGTCAGGGAGCTTGACTTTGATCACAGGATGACAGAGTACAGTTTCTGACCCACGTGTGACTTCAAGGCTCTTTGTCTGTCTGTCTGTCCATCTTTCTTTCTTTATTTTTTTCTTCGTTTAATTTTTCTGTGTATCTCTGACTCTCCTGGAACTCATTGTGTAGACCAGGCTAGCCTCAGACTCCCAGAGATCTGTCTGCCTCTGCCTCCACAGTGCTGGGATTAAAGGAGTGTTCCACCACTGCCTGGCTTCTAGAATGTTTAATGTCATTCCCTTAACCCAGAAATTTGCCTCTCTTAAACCAGAAATTTGCCTCTCTTAAACCTAAATGTCATCTCTCTGTTTAGTTCCTCAGCTGTCTACACAAGAAGGACCAGACACATACCCTCCATCATTTTCAGAAGCCCTGAGGAGGTTGTCTTGTCTTCATCACCACCTTCAGAGGACATAGGGCTACCTTCCTATGAACAGGCAGTAGCACTGACCAGAAAACACAGCATCTCACCACCGCCTCCATATCCTGGGCCAGCAAAAGGATTTAGGGTATTTAAAAAGTCTATGTCACTCCCATCTCACTAAGCCCACCTTGCCGCCTTTCTGTAAGACATTCATGTGGTTTGAATGATTTGTTCTCCCTGAAACAAAAAATGATTTGCCTGTTCAGCTTTCTATGACAAACTGCAAGGAATAAAGAAGCAATACATACTGAACAGAACTCACCACAGTTCTGCTTCCGGCTCGGACTGGAACTGGATCTCTATCATCTTGGTAAGAGACTTCAGCTTCATTTCCTTGAAGTGAAGAAGAAAGTGCCGTTTTGCAATGTACATTGGACTGGTTCATAAATCTTTGTTATAGCTGGGTAGTGTGATGTGTGTCTATAAATGTATGCTATACTGGTTCAGAAATCTTTGCTATAGCTGGGTAGTGTGATGTGTGTCTATAAATGTATGCTGAACTGGTTCAGAAGTCCTTGTTATAGCTGGGTAATGTGTGCCTATAATCCCCACACCTAGGACACTGAGTTGGGAGGGATGAGAGTTCAAGGACAGTCTTAGCCCTATCCAGACACTGTCTCAAAACAAGACAAAGTTTGTTAATAGAAGGAGCAAACTAGGAACTGACAATCATTAGTTTATTTCAAGTCATGATATTGGATCCTCTCTTCATTAGGATTTCTTCTTGGCTGAGAATACTTCACAGAATTTGACATTTTGATGTAAATCTGGAGCCTTGATATAAACACCTGGTTTTCTAATTTAATTGGTGCAGAGCCTTCACCAAATTTGCAGGTCTTAATTTTTTCACTTGCTATCAATTATGTTTCCATGGGACAAGAGGTGCCAAGAGAATTTTGTGGTTGTTGTTGTTTCTAAAAATTGCTATTCGTAGACTTAAGAGACATCTAACTTGGAAAAGTGCTTATCATACAAACTTAAGGATCTGAGGTCGGTCCTCAGTATCCCTGTTTGAAACAAACAAAACCATGAAACGACGACGTGAGTACTTGGATGCATCCCTATAATCCTAGCACTGGGGAGAAGGACATAGGAGGACCCCTGGGGTTGGTGGCTAGCCACTGTAGCTGAATCAGGAACCGCCAAGTTCAGTGAGAGACTTGGTCTCAAAAGTTAAGATGAAGCCAGTGAGGTAGTGCATGCCTTTAAACCCAGCACTCATGAGGCAGAGATCTCTGTGAGTTTAAGACCAGCTTGTTCTACATTGTGAATTCTAGAACAGCTAAAAAGCCTGCCTCAAAAAAACAAGAACAAGCCAGGCGGTGGTGGTGCACACTTTTCATTCCAACACTTGGGAGGCAGAGACAGGTGGATCTCATGAGTTCAAAGCCAGCCTGGTCTACAAAGTGAATTCCAATACAGCCAGGACTGTTACATGGAGAAATAAGAAAGAGAGAGAGAGGGAGGGAGGGAAGGAGGGAGGAAGACTATAAAAACAAAAAAAAAAAACAAAAAGAAAAAACATTGTCTAGCAGTGGTGGCACAAGCCTTTAATCCAGCACTCGGGAAGCCAGCCTGGTCTACAGAGTTAATCCCAGTACAACTAGGACTATACAGTAAAACCCTGTCTCAAAAAACATAAAATAAAATAAAAAAATAATTAAGGTGGAGAGAATTGAAGAAGATACCAATATCACCTTCTGGCCTCTACATACACGTGTTGGCATGCATATGCATACACGCATGCACAATATCACCTTCTGGCCTCTACATACAGTGTTGGCATGCATATGCATACATGCATGCACAATATCAAGCCGAGAAGTTTAGTGAGGGAATGGTAGAGGCAAGTGGTGGAGCACTGGTTTCATATGCCTGAGGCCCTGGGCTAGATTCCCCAGCAATATCAACTGAAGTCCTCAGAAAGCCTCTGTGTGTGTGTGTGTGTGTGTGTGTGTGTGTGTGTGTGTGTGTGTGTGAATGTTGAACCAGAGCAGCACATATGCATAATGATACGTGCTGTATCATTAAGCTGAACTCTCGGTCTCCCTCGTTTCTCCTAGTACAGCCTAACATATGGGAAAACACACCACAGTTTCAGCAGTGGAAAAGCCTGTGCTTGGCATGTGTGCAAGACCCTGGGTTAGATCTCCAGCACCAAAACAAAACAAACGTAGCAGAGCATGACTCCTACGTGTGGAGCACATACTAACCTACATGCTTGTCTACTGGAGCTCATTTGCTTGTTACATGTTGAGGAACTGGGTTCTCTGGAATCGAGGAACCACACAGTCTTGAAAACTCACTAGAAAAAAACACTGGTGGTTTTCTTTGTTGTCTGTTTCTGTCAGGCATTTCCCTATTCTTTAAGATCCTTTATAAATTGTGAGCTTGTTTTATGATGTTATAGAGTTGAGACTGCAACCTGCTTGCATTTGATAGCTTCACCCATTCCATTTCCATTTAGAAAATCCATTATCACTTTGCAGTGTGTGAATGTAAGCGTGTGTACGTTTCTTTTATAGCATTGTGATTGGTTGGAGCTGGTGTGACACTCCAGCAGTCTCACCACTTAGGATCACAAGTTTGAGCACAGCCTGGGCTACATCCTTAGGTCAAAGGTCACGTGGAGTAATTAGCGAGCACTTGTCTCAGATAAAGCAAAGCAAACACAAGACAGCATGATCTTCATTAGGGCAGATAAAAAGAAGACATCAGTTCTTGGAGACTGAGAACCTTTATCCTATACATTTTCAGACCTATAGGCTGCATGTCACAAATAAATCATCTGTCAACACTTTCATGTAATTAGAAGTATTTTTAAGTCACCCATATTGCCTCTAAAGTTCTGTTCTTCATATCTTCTCTCCATAACACCTTTCCTTGTGTAACTATGTGCTTGACGCTGACTTTAGTTCTCTTTTGAGAAGGTTCCCAGGACTGAACTTGCTCATTTTGTAACGGTCAGAGTGAAATCTGCTAGGTTGGTAAAGCTGGGTTTGCGATGAGTAATCCACTTCATCTAGTCCCATCTCACACTCTACAGGAGAGTACGATCCTAAATAAGAAGACATGGGCGAGTGGGAGAGATTGTTCAAGTGGTTAAGAGCATTCACTGCTCTTCCAGGGGACCCAAGTTTGGATCCAAGCACCCATATTGGGCTGTTCACAGCCACCTATAATGCCATCTCCGGGGGGCAGAGGGTATCCAGTGCCTTCTTCTGGTCTGCACTTTTGTGGCATACACTCACACAGACATGCACACAGACATGTGAATTTAAAAAGGCATTATTTTTATTTTGGGGTTTCTTTGTGGGGTTTTTTTTTTTTTTTGGTTTTTTTGGTTTTTTTTGAGACAGGGTTTCTTCACATAGCCCTGGCTGTCCTAGAACTCCATCTGTGGATCAGGCTAGCCTGGAACTCAGAGATTCACCTGCCTCTGCCTCCCAAGTGCTGGAATTAAAGGTGTGAGCAGCCATACCTGGCATGTATGTGTGTGTGTGTGTGTGTGTGTGTGTGTGTGTGTGTGTATAATGTTTTCTTTTAAATTTACACTGCTGGGGATCAGAATCCAGGGCCTTGCTCATGATAGAGAAGAGTTTAACCCCTGGCCCACACATACCCTGTTCTTTTACTGAATCCTAATTTGAAATAGTCTATTGCCTCCCCAAGTCTAACCCCAAAGTTAGCTTCAGGCCTGTGGCAGCCTCACACTGTCCCTTTTGCAACCTTACATTTGCCGTCTACCCTAACTTGAAGGGATCTCAAATTCACCACGAAAACTGTGAAATCACTGGTATTTCTAGAGCACCAAGGTATCGTGATACTTGGACTGCAAACAGAAAACTGTAACAGAACCACCATTAGCAAGCAGCGGAAAACTGAAAGGGATCTCTCAGTGAAAAGCCACCACAGACTTGGGGCACTGCCGGCTCCGGTGCCGAGCTGTTCAGTGTGGTTAATGCGGGCAGCTCAGTCTGTTGCTTTGTTTCAGCTTCTTCTCCGGGGAATGGACGGGTGTGAAACATTAGGTCTGTTTTCTCATAGGCTTTATTTTTGATAGACCAGTTTTTCTTCCGTTGCAATTAGGAAATGGATAGAATATGGCTATAATCAGATTTGAAAGTGACAAAGACGCAGTTATAAAACTAAAAAGAGCACAGGCTCTGGCTGTGGGGGCTGCGCATCTGTTAACAATGTGCTCCTGAGTGAGGAGGGGGAGAGACGCTCAGACCGAGCCACAGCTGTAGAGGATCACGGTCCTCTGCACCTTGCTTTCCCACTTACCTCCAGACGTGTTTCTTTCTTGCGGTGACGTTGGTGTTGGGACTCAAACCAAGGCCTTGCACATGCCAGACAGACACCCCAGCAGTGATTTGTACTAACCCCCCCCACATTGATCTCCAAGTTTCTCATAGATTTTTTCTGCTTCTCATATAATTTATGTGTATGTACACTCCTCCTAAATGTACAGGGGAATTTTAATGCTAAAAGACTGACTTGTGCTTAACAAAAATCATATTATTCATAATCTTTTTTGTTTTAATTGAATGTGAATTAAATTTTACTCATTGTTTGATCTGAAATGTTATGGGTGACATTTATGCTATTAGAGGAATGTCAAGTATTTCTGTAATTTTTTTTAAAGATTAGATTTTTGGAGACAGGCATGGGGTTATATACCAGAAATACCAGTACTTAGGAAGCTAAGGGGAAAAGATTAATGCAGCTTCCAGGCCAACCTTGACTACAGAATGAGACTCTGTCTCAAACAAAAGGATGAAGGAAGGAAAGAAACAGAGAAACAGAAAAGAAAACCAAAGCCAAACAAACAAAATACTACACTGGGTTGAGGGAACAGTGGTGAATATACACTTTGCTTACACCGGGCACCTGGGTTTGATCCCCAACACCAAGTGAACAAATTTCAGTACTGGGCTGAAGAGAAGGCTCAGTGGGTAAAGACACTCGCTGCTAAGACAGACTACTTGAGTTCAATCCCCAGGTCTCACATAGTTGAAGGAAAGAAGTTTCTCCTGCAAACTGATCTCTGATGACTTCCACATGTATGCAGTGGTATGCATACATTCACCACCCTCCATTAAGTAAATAAATGCAATTAAAATTATTTTTAATTAAAGTAAGGTAAAAATAAAAATAATTACCTTTTGTAGATGCTGTCTTTGGTCAGCTCAAACATGTATAATACATGTTGATGCCTTCAGTCTGAGGAACCATGTTTTTGCCGTGTTTTGCTTTACAAACATGTCCTTAACAGTTTGAAGCTAACCAGTACAAATGTATCAGTATTCGTATTATCTGGAAAAAGCAGC